TTCAGTGGCATTTGCAAGACTTTTCTTGAGTTCTTAACCCTGATACTTTTCAATTTAGAAGTTCTATGCAGTTCACAAATAGCTATTATGGCTCGGTCTATGTACCCAACAAGATCCATTCTGTGTAATTTAGTCCCATCCTCCCTCCATGATGGTGCCAGCTAATCAGTTAATACAGTGCTTTTCAAACTTTGCAGTATTAAAATGATACATAAATTTGCATGACTCCCCGTTAATAAAATAAATGATTTTCTTGGTGCTAGGGTTGGACAAGAAATAAATATACCACTTTTAATGATTAAATGTTAATCTGTATATCATAGGAAACTTTGCAGTACAGCAACTATCTACTGCAGGCTTGCATAAACAAAATGAGGACCAATGCCCAAATCCAGTTTGATGTTGTTCTCACTTTGCCTGCACAAGTCAGATCAGATTTTTGGAAAATATTGTGACATGAACCCCACCATCAAGTTGGTCCCTATTCTCCAGGGTCTGGACCCACAATTGGAGAACCCCTGGATTAATCACCATGGTAACTGAATTAAAATTGGATGCCTCAGAGTATTCTATGGGTACAGCTACAAGCTATTGACATAGCACTCTTTATATAGCACAATTTTGTTTGTTTTACTTGAGAAAAAACTTTAAAACAGCTTGGCTTTGATTTTACTTGTTTGTCACAGGTGTGTTAATATTTTACTGCAGCTCTCTTGGAATTTTTTAATCAAAACATATTAGTATTTACCATTTCTCTACTCTTTGGGAATAAATACTCTCAGTGGTAGTTTTAGTCTTGTCTCTCTTCTTCGGTGTGCTTTTTAGGACTTCTCAGGGCTCTGCCCCCACTCCCATTTTGCTTGACAGACAGGAATCTCAAGAAGCATTAATATCTGAAAACAATCAATCGTGAATGTCTAAGGTTCTTTTTTCCTCTCTTCTGTCTTTCTCACCTCTGGGTTAAGTGTCCTCCTTTCTTCCTCCCCTTGCTTTCTGTGAACAGCTGTTGTTGGGCTTTATCTATATTTAGTTCCTGACTTTCTTGCCGTCTTTTGTGGCTTTTTCCCTCCTCCAACCCTCTTGCTTATAATTACGACAGAACCCCAGAAAGGGATGGTTGAATGGTTGGGGGATTTGCGTTGGAAATGATTTCTCAGCTGCTGAGCTGTGCCCGGGTCTCTCCGTGCAGGGCTGTTCTAGGCTGCTGCTTCTGGTTCGGGGTGGTAATGGTGGTGGGACATTGGTTCTATAAACACACATATGCACATGCACACAAAAGGCACGCACGTGTGGCTTAATAAAACAGCCCGTGCTTTTTTACAACAGCAGTGAAAACAGAGGGTACGTCTCTGATGAGTCACAATAGCTCTTGTTCATTCACAGCGTGCCAAAACGGCTGCAAGTGACTCAGATACGGCTCTTGGAAAAGAAGGGTGGGAGCAGCGGCAGCAGCAGTAATAATTTGGGGAGTGCAAAAGGATCTGCATAAATAGCGCTGAGTTCTGCCCCAAATTGCCATTGTGTGAGAGTGCTTTTTTTTTTTTTTTAATAACTGCATTGAGGCTTGAAAGCTGCGTGTTCTGCTTGAAAAGGCCTTCCACATAAATCTCAGAAGGGCACTTAGTACTTCCTTTTATTGCTCATTAATGTTACAAGGCTGAGAGCTGGTATAGGAATCAGATTCCAAGGCTGTGCATACCTGTCCTCTGGCTTAAATAAAATTATCTGCATGTCAGAGTGACCCCAGATTTTAAAATACAGGCAATCCCTGGGTTAAGAATGAGGTCTGTTCCTAAGTCTGTCTTTAACTCGAATTTGTATGTTAAGTTGGAACTTGTACTTACGAACGGGCTGCCTATTGCTAAAAATGGCGGACGGCATTCTCCTTCCTTGAGCCAACAAACCATTGAAGCAGTGCAGCGTTTTCATGAACCACTGAAAACAGGCTGTATATTAAAAACATGCAGCTTCAGCAGTTCATGAAAACATTGGATGGCTTCAGTGCTTCATCAGCTCAAGGAAGGAGAACACCGTCCATCATTTTTAGCAATAGGCAGCCTGTTCATAAGTATGACTTTTCCATAAGTCGGACGTTCTTAACCTAGGGACTGCCTGTAATGCACATCAGCAAGATCTTACTTTGGAAGAGCATCTGATTTCTGCAGCCAACAGATCCTGGGATCCTGCCTGGGTTGGAGACATATTGACTGCACCCCAGATGCAGGTTATTTCACCTACCCACCATTTGGGGGCTACATGATATTTCTTTTGCCCCTGTCCAGTGGGTTACAGACACTATTGGCCTAGGCTCATACCTATTTTTGAAAGCTGTCCCTTGGTGAACCTTGCCATGATGTTTTTGTCTTCTGTCCACCTGGGACTGATCTTTTTTCCATTAGGAGTTCTCTATGCTGATAGAGGTACATACAGTTTGGTTGAAGTTCTGCAAGCAGGTTCATGGGTTTAGCAATCTGAGCCAGAGGCTTGGATTGCTACATATTGTCCTTAGCAAGCCCTAGGACTTAGCAAGCTAAGGACAAAATATTGTCCTTATTGTACTTTGGGAAGAAAATGGCAAACTTCATTTTAAAATAAGTTCTGTCCTACAGAGTTCCTACTGACACATACGTTTAATTTGCTGGATATTTCTCTCACCTCACTCCAAAGCAACCCTCTTCATGTATAAAGATATAGAGCTCAGTTAACCACAAATTTCTTTTAATTTCTTCCAGATCTTTTGCCCTCAACTGGTTCTCATTATAGCCTAATCTAGAGGTGTCGAGGGGAGGGGGGTTCAAGATGGCAGCCATGACTGTGTGATTGAAGCCCTGCCACTTTCTTATGTGTGTCACACATGTGTAAAAAGAGACAGGGCTTTGATTGCCTGGGAACAGCTGCCATCTTGACCCCCCCCCCCCAAATTTGTTGATACCTCTGGAGTAGTCTACATATTTGCTGAGATAGTGGGGTAAGATTTTCTACTGGTGGCGGTGGAGGCAGTTTGCAATGTGCTTCCTTAGAAAAAAATAAACACAAAACTCTGCAAGTAAACTTAACCAGAATAAATGAGCATTAGCAGTCTTGCTGCTTTTTGACACTAATTTTTATTGGTAGAGAGTTTTTCATAAATAGGAACTTTCAAAAATAGCAACCTTTGCTACCATCTCAGTTTGCAGCATATGTGGCCTAGGCCACCAAGGGATTTGTTTCACAAGGTATACCTGTGATGAATACTTCTTGTGTCATTTTTCCAGACCTTTGAATCAAGGCCCAAATATGTGTGAAAAGGTAACATTGAAAGCCAATGATTTGTGTGTCTGCACAGCTTCCTAAACAAACCTCCAGAAGTTGGTTAGGTGAATATCCCTGAAGAAGATCCTTATGTTTACTTATACAGTATCATGTTTTTCCCCTACATCTTCATATTGATTTGGGGCCTTATCTTGACTTTAGATTTGGAAAATAATTGTTGTCTCTAAATACACTGAAGACGTGGGAGAGCTTTGTGACACCCCTGTCTAGGCATCTTAAAATGCTGGTGGATAAAAAAGCCATTACATTGGCAGGGGTTGGCAAAATAGCCTTAGAAATAAGTGGTGCTAACTGGAAATTGGCATCCGTTTATGAATAGACTTCTTTGGAAGCTTGAAATATTCATGCATTCATTCATTGGGATATGTTTCATAGGTTAAACCCTTCAATGGTTGCCAGATGCCTGAAACCGGCATGACATTTACAACTGGCTTGGATTATAAATCTCTGCAATGGGCATGGAAGCTTCAGAGGTCTGCTCCATGTCTTGCAAACAATTTTTATTTATTTTATAATAAATAAAATTTTATTTTGCACCACTTCTGTTAGTGTTCTCCTCCTAGATTACTGAAAATAAGTGCATTTGAATATTTGGTCTGTCTGCCCATCTTCTTGGAGGTTAGGAAAAAGACAAACTCAATTTAAGTAAGTCCTTCATTAATATTGTGTCCCAGTAACTATACCATTGAACTCCTGGACCATAGTAAAAGATATCTGCTGTTACAAACTGAGGAGCAAAACCTGGAGCAGATAATTGCTATAATAGCTAGAAATTTTTGTAAATTTGTGGGTGTTAGTTCATATGAAGATACAAAACTCAGACTACTTGTGGCTTTTATTTCCAAACCTCTTTGATTTCCTTGTCTTGAATCTCTGAATTCACAATTCAGATATCTGCTCCACTGTGTGATTTGAGCTCCTCAACGTAATACTGTAAGCAGTCTCACAAGGGCAATTGAAAGGATGAAATACAGGTGGGCAAAAGGTAACTCAGGATCTGCTCTTTGGCAAGAGATGTTTATTCTGATTATTTAGCAATAGCAGCAAAAATGTTTTTTCCTCCTGCTTTCTAAATTAGAATCTGAGCATGGACTCCTATGTAGCCAAACAGCACAATCCACACAAAATAAGGGGTCTGTTAGCAGGGAGGGACTTTAAGGTTTGCAGAAGTGCAAACTTCTTAAGAGAAAAAAAAAACTCTAAGAATGTTTAAAAACCCAATAATCTAGTAGGGTAGAACATGGTCACTGAACAGGAAATGATGACTGCTCAGAAGAGGAAAAAGGTGTAAATGTATTGAACGAATCCTGAAAAAAAGGGGTGGCTGGCTGGCTGAAAATCTGAATAATAACATTTTGTTGCAAGTCCCATTTGTTATTGATGTCAGGCAGAAACAAACAAACAAACAACCCCCCCAAACCCTTCCCCAGCATCCAGACTGTTTATCAACCTTCCATGACATTGGAGCAGCCAAGACAGTGGCTTCACAAGTGACAAATCATGTTTAGCTACTGATGTACATAAAACTATAATAGTAAATCCATGAAGTTCATATTTGACAGTTTTATCATGCAAACAGAAGTATTGTGCTTGCTGCAAAGCTCTTCTTTAAACATAGACAAACATGCACATGTGGGCCATGATCTCAGCACTCTTTTTTGCAGATGGTTCTACTGCAACCATGAACTCTCTTTCTAATCCCCAGCTATGGACTTGAAGCCGGTTCTTCCCATGGTGATGCAGAGTTCTTGCAACAGCAGCAGCAACAGCAGCCCAGTGGATTTGCGGATGGATTCCCGGCCCAGTGTGCCCACCGTGGACCCAGCTGTCCGGGAGCAGCAGCTGCAGCAGGAACTACTGGCTCTGAAACAGCAACAGCAATTGCAGAAGCAGCTGCTCTTTGCCGAGTTTCAGAAGCAGCATGAGCACCTAACACGGCAGCATGAAGTCCAGTTGCAGAAACACCTCAAGGTAATTTGGAGGTGAACTCTCCAAGCTGCTCCCTCCTGAATCACACCATTCATATCACTCCCTGTATTGCCTGTTTGAACTGGCGGCAGTTGTCAAGCATCCTAGCCTAGTGGAAATCCTTTGAACAGGATCATACCTGGGACTGTAGGCATTCAAAGAACTTGTTTGGTCACAGAGTGAGAGCCCTCCCTTAGGCTAATGACATCAGTGCCAGCTGCAGGAGCATGTTTCCTAGAATAAAGATCAAAGGTCGAAGCATAGTTTCAGGCTTGATGAGGGTAGATGCAAGCAAGACTAAGTATTGGTGAAAACCAGACCTAGGAGGCTTGGGGTCCTGGCTCACATTTCCTCTGACATTGTAGCATGTAGCTTGGGTTCTCCAGGTTCCAATCTTGCCATCTGTGGCCTGCAGTACCTTTTATCTCCTTTATTGGATACTTTTCATTTTTTTTCCCCCTGATCTTGCAACCATTATTCAACTTCAGGGTTACCATATCTAGGATGCAAAAATCTGGATGGCCAGAAGACGACAGTAAAAAAATACAGAAAACTCTAATTCTTCACTGCTGGGTAATAGTTGGCTAGAGCTTTGCAGCCCAAATAAGCTATCCAACATCCTGTTAAATTAATAGTTCTTTATGGCACTTCCTAGACACCAGCAAAGTATTGAATTAGGCAGCCTTCCGTGATAGTCTGTGTGTTTCTGAGCCTAATTCATAGCATTAGCACTTTTTAAAAGCTCTCAGGGGCCTGATCCTATGTCCTCCATGCCAATGCTGCTTCTCCTATTTTCTTCCTTGCTCTTTTCTGTTGGTGAAGCCTTGTTATGAGTTCTATCTGTTATCCAAGCTGTTCTAGGGATTGGGGGTTTTCTGATAGGGCGTCCACATTTTAGAGTGCCATTCTGGGAAGAGCCATCTATGTTGGGAGTGGGGTAGGGTTTTTAATTTATTTTTTATTTATTATCAAATTTATACACCACCCATCTCCCCTAGAGGGTGACTCTGGGTGGGTTACAATTAAAATCCAAGACGATAAAAACAATAAAAATATAAATATCCCCAATTA